CGCCAAGGTACAGGATAGTTCTAGAAAGCAGAGGGCATGAGAATAGTCATGTGATCTCGCTGACGCAACAATATGAAAAACATTTTACAGAAATGCATTATTTTTAGGAAGAATGATTATGCAATCAATAGAAGCAAGCTTATTATTAAAGGAGACTAATCAAAAGACATGTGGAAAATTCCCATAATTGTATATATTTCATTTTTTCTTTTTGGAAACTTAATTCAAATGCTTCATTGTAAATTCTAGATGTATTGTCTCTCTCACAAGCTTTCAACCACTTGTAAAAAAATAATAATTGAAATGCTTCCACATGGTTACATTTTAAAATTGGCTGATGATACTAGTTAAGTTCATAATCTTAGTGGATGGGCTTGAGCATAAAATGAGCTTGAACACTGAGAAAAATAATGTATGGAAATGTAAAAAATATGTGCTTCTTGTAAACAAAGCATTGATGTTTTAAAAATGAAAAAAAAGGGATGTGAATGTGTATAAAACCATAAAGCATTTTAGTAATAATTTTGATTTGGGAAATAGAGCAATAGCACTTGGTTCTATTTAAATATATCTTTAAGTGAAAAAAAAAAAGCTATAGCAACCTTGTAAGTGGTTCTGATGAGGCTTCATTTCGTAGTTTAAATCCCTCTACCATGAAGAATATCATCATGTTGGAAAGAGTGCTTTAAGGAGAAACTTAAAGCCTCGGCCACAAGCCTACTGAAGAAAATGAACAATTAAAAAAGGTTTTAAGTCCCACATTCTCTAACACTTATCATTTCCTTATACAACAATCAGTGATCTCAAAATAGTACATGAAACTACAAGGGAACACTTGAAATTATTTCTCATAACGTATCAGACGAACAAAGCTTCTCCCAACATTGAACCAATCCTTTTAAAATTTTGGATTTGCTTTCATTACGGCACAGAAATGTACAAGAAGATACAATTAAAGAGCTCAAAACTGTTATGGATTTAGACAGTCTTCTTACAAGTGGTCTGCCTCTGTGGTGAAATAAGGAGAATAGAAATACAAACTTGAATGTTAGGTTTGTTTATAATTTTGTGTAAAGCTACTTGAGGGCTATCTGCACCAGCCATCCATAATTTTAGCAGTAATGGATTAGAGGGAAGGCACCTAGTCAACATTACCCATCATCAACTCTTGATATATTCTTCTACCAACAAACAGTGGGATTGACCATCACATTACAATACCCACCCACCCCACAAAATGAAAGGGCAAACATGTTTGGTAACAGGGATTCGAACCTGTGACCCACAGACTGTGAGTCAAGTTCCCTAACCACCAAGCCATGCCAGGCCCTTGAAAGTTAGGAGTAATAATTCAAGTTTAGGTAGCCCACATACAAACTAATTCTTTGGCAATTGTTTTTTAGTTGGTTTTACACATGTAGCATTTTTCACCTTATGATGTGGTGAATGCAAATACAAGTTGTTTGATTTATTTTAAAATGTAGATAATTTGGATGTGAAGGAATACATTTGATTTGGCTTTTATGCTTTGGCAGTGGAGAGTTAATTGTGTTAAGCCAAATGGCCCTGTTATCTTGCTTGTTCTTCCTTAATTTTAACTTTAGAGCACATTTATTTTATGTCTACTTGGTTCTATCTAAAATGAACAAAGGAATAATAGTTATTAAACACTGACACTATGAATAGTATATTTATGGTTACCAAGTTCTCAGTATAAAAATTAACAGCTTTAACCTTTCTTAAGTCCTGTTCTAAGTGTATCAGATCAATTAGTAATTCATTATTTCTCAAAAATAAAAGATGCTATGTTACCTAACAATGGCTGATTTTCAAATAAGTGATACTTACAAACTTCTTCAACTCAGGTGCCACAAACAGTCTTGACTATGTTTACATGGCCAATTCAACAGCCAAGACATAGCATTAGAATAATTCTGAAATATTACATTTAAAGAATGAGAATTTGATTCTATACCAGTAATTAAAGATGAATGACACTGGTACTCCATGCTGTTTTATTAATTTAAAAAGAAGTTTCACAGGAGTACTAAACAGTAATGTTTAAAATAAAATCAATGTTCTTGGTAGAGCATGAATACACTATTGTTGAGCAAATGACATCAGCTCTCCATTCATATTGTATTACTATTAGCAGCCATAGCTATACAAATCTTTGAATAATTGTTTTCCTTTTTATTTTGACTTACACACCTTTATAATTCTTACTTTCCACTAATTAACAATCCTATTCATACTGAAATATGTACACCATAGTAAAGCTAAACAAACTGTAACACATTATTTTTAAGAAGTTTCAACAGCAGAATCAGCTGCAATGAAAGTGAAGCTAAAGCTGGTAAACACCAGGTTTGGAAACTAATTTACCTTTGTTGGAAGCAGTGTTATTAAACTATGTGACAACAATGATATTCATTCCGTAATAGAAGTAGTAGTATGAGTACTATGTGGAATTTTCATACTCATAGTCTTCTTTATTTGTTGTTTGGTTGACAGGCACCTGCAGCTCATATAAATCGACATACAAGATTGTTATCAGTTATAGTCATCAGTAACCACTAGCGTTAACAATACTACTAGTATTGGTTTTACAAGACTGAAATGAAGGCAAAGCAGTCTGGACTATCCAGAAAGTGAAACTGAAATGAAAATGGCAGCTCATGTATCAGTTTTACTTCTAGTCACTGATTTAGCCCAAAATTCCAAATATGGTAACATAAATTTAGCTAAAACTTAATTAATAAAAACTCGTAAAATTAAAACTTTGCAAATTCAGTCTCAGAATCAAAATTTTGTGATATTGACGTCAAATATCAAGATCATAAGTTAATAGTATTAATATAAATACATACATAAATCAAAATTGATACAATTTACTACACTGTAACTAACAGTAATAGTACTACTAAACTAATTTTAGCTAATTTTACATTTCGAAGTTCTAGTATTACTTAAATTAAAGTTTAAATGTCTGTAACAGTAACAGTGCAAGTATAACCATTGTATTACTACTATTAGTAATACCAATACTATTACTAGTCTATTTGTACAAAAAAAAAACCTACCAACGGATGCATATAGTCTGCCAAGAGTTCATTTAATTACGTTTACAAGTACAAGTATGCAGCCCCTTGTTTTTGTTTTTTTTCTCTATACATGAGATAGAAACTCTCCGAATCTTCGGTTTATTCTATATATCCCGACTTTCCGTTCTCTCGACAAAAGATAATAGTAACTCGCGCCATCTCGAAAATTGTTCAACATTTATCAGACTTCCCACAACAACCAAAGTTTTGTTTCAAAATTCAAAATCACTTGAAGCCAGGGGTGAAATTCTCAAAAAAAGTAAAAGGACTCAGCTGAGTGAATGGACCTGTTTTTGATATAGTCAGAAAACTAACTTCTCTAAACATAAAAAAAAGCAGCTCAAATAACAATACAGTTACGATGAGTACCGGCAGAATTTTGCTGATGCTTGAAGCATAAGTTCATAAGTTTTTTTTTGTTTTTTTTGTAATTTCACGTCTTTAATCAACTTGAATGGTTTTGTTAGTATTTATTGATTCTACGGCCGTTTAGTTTGAAAATATAGTTTGCTAAATGTAGACAGTTATGCACAAGCTAAGGCATTTTGATTCACCACCTAAATTCTCTAATCAATACCGATTGTAAACTTTAACGGGGTAGTATGCAGGCTATCATGTGTTTCCTATTCCCTTCATTAAATATATAATTTTCTAAATTTCTGTACATATTGAAAAATGTTTTCTTCGTATAGAAAGTGGGTCAAGTGAGTCGTAAATTCCTCTTGCCATAGTTACTCATGGATCTAGCTAGGTCAGTCAACTACGTCTAGGGTGTCACGTGTAATTTCTTGCGGGAAACATTGCTGGAACGTCAAACATACTGTGAAGTGAAAATGACAATCAGTCATATGAGTAGTACTTGCATTCAGAGAAGAATGTAATTTTTACTGTAAGTAAATGATGCTATGTTTTCTAAAGAGTCTGGGACAGCTTAACCTGAACTTAATTTAAAGCTTTAACTAAATAACATCTATCTCTAGTAAAGGTACCCCACTACACTTTACCCTTGTCTTCTTAACTCTCGATTGTGTTTTAAAATAAAGAGAGTGTTATAAGCTATATCTTTTCATCTTGTAATTTAAATGTTAGCTGCAGAATGTATTATGTTATGATCAAAAAGTTTAATAGAAGTTTAATAGAAAGTTCTAAAAATTTCGAAATAAGATTTTCTAGTAAATTTAAGTATATTGTTACGTCTCTGGTCGTTAGTTAATTTTCCGTAAATATTTTTTCCGAAGAAACTTTAGCTATACAAGTCCTTTCTTAAATAAAACTGGTTTATTCTTTCTGAATACAACTTTGAAATTCACTTAATTTCCACGGTCACACTATAGCTTAAACAAACACTATAATTCCCCACGAATGACTCACGTGCTCGACTCAATTGTCAGTCTCTCTCTGTCTGCAGTTCAATTACCTGACATGTTGCCATCACTTCTTACCAGTCTTATATACACAAGAATACCGCATGTCTACTAAATGCTCGAGACTTCACGAACCTTCGAGAATATGACGTGTTACTGGCGTCACGTGACCCCCGCTGTCGTAACACTGCCCCTTCCTTAGTATTGTTCGTCCCGAACAATAGCCACTTACATTAAACCAATAAACAATTAACAATAACTGAATTAAATGTACAGAATTTACAAACAAAAAATCAAAATTCAACAGGTCTCTTAATTTTACGGGACGTATCTTCTTCCGTACTGGTCTCTGTCTCGTTGGCTTCTGCTTCAAGTGGGATTCATTTGCTTCATCAGGAAATGTCCTATCATCGGTAACAGTCACATCAGTGGTAGTAACTTCATCGAATCAGCAGACGTTTTCAAGTTTGAACGCACTTGATGGTGAATATCATCCATCCTTTCCGGTAACACTTTCAC